GTGCGCGTGTTGTCTCTGTCTCCAACTTTGCCCCAAATAGACATTGGCAATAGTATTAGTAGTAAGCTTTACTTGACTCCAAATGACATGACTTATTTTGTTCTTCCCATAGTTGGATGATATACGGAAATTCAATAGCGACAGTGGCTCGAAGTAGATCAGCTTCATTCATACAAAGGGGTAAACGATGGGCAACTCAATCTCCCATCTATATCACGTACTAGTACACATCCTGGCAGAATAACTGCTAGGTTTTTCGATCATAATTTTGATCATCGTGGTTTAATGGTTTAAATCTTTTTTCTGTTCTTTTATTAATGTGAGAATTTCTAGTCTTCATAGTATAAATATGGTGGCTTCTTTTTAAGATATTTTAATAATATAATGATCCCTATAATAAATAGATAGATTGGTAGAACCACCGATTTTTTTACATCTAAACACATGCAGTCCAATAATTACATATGTGAGCACGCATTGTTTGGAATCTATCTATTATATACTAAAAGTCCATGAAACTTTCTAAAAACACTCTCAAATCGCCATGTGGCTTCCTTAAAACGCTCCTAAATCGCCACGTGACATTATAATAAATAGAGAAAATTCGAACCATTGATTTTCACTTAAAATAGGTGGACCCATTATTTTGAGCCATTAGATTTAAGCTAATCCGTATCCTCTCATCTCCGAACGCCGCGTACCTCCTCCCCGCACGCAAGACGTAGATAGCTAGGTACGCATCTACTCCTCTCCATCTCCCCTTTTTTCTCCAAGGTTGTTAAGCTACAAAGCATAATTTGTTACAATAAGTTAGAGATATGGAGCCTGCAGGAGCTCGCTGTGCACCATGCATGCTACCTAAATTATAGGAGTGATCACAGTGATACACTTGAACTACACATTCAGTTTATTATACACTTGAACTACTGTTTTTTAATCAAATCAACGGTTTAAGACTCATATTAGTTAGCTATATTTTGGTGGTAAAGAATTATTACATGTTGGTCTTTTTCAATTTATCACATGCACGTATCATTTTCATGAGTCCTCCCCAAAATTGAAGGAAACCCTAAGAATTTCCTTCAATATCAAGTCTAATTTTTTATTCAAATCGGTGGATCAATTATGATACAATAAGGCAATAGTAACTAATTAACTACATACGTACTCTCTCCTCCTCCTCTCCTTTCTCATTCAATTCTTCATTCTTCTAATTTTTAACTAATTAGCAACTTAATATAAAAACAAAAAATAATTAGAAAGCTAAATGATTATAATTCTTAAGTTATATATGGTTTTTATGTTCAACAATATAAAAGTAAAATATATTACTTCACAAATATAAATATATTTAGTAAAATTAAGATCTATATATGATAAATATCCAATCAATGTTCTTTAAAACATCTTCTAAATAATTCAAGATCTATATTACCCAATTTCACTGTAAATAATACGTCATTTGTAGACACCTATGCGTGTCAACCAAATAAAAAAAATCAAACAAACTATATCACCTTAAATCATCGTACATTCTCAATAGAGCACTTACATGTCACGTGTTATGTCTTAAATTAAAAACAAAATCTTAGAAATTATAGAAAAACACATTTGACCACCGGTTATGAATTAAATATGTATATCCATTATTTTAAACCATTAGATCTATTTTTTTTAAAAAAATCTTAAGCCGCTAGGTGTTACATTTTAATAATTAAAAAATATTATTCGAAATTTTAGGAACAAAACAATAAATCATCGGTTTTTATTTAAATCATTTATAAAAACTAGGAAATAAACCCCGCCCCCACCCCCCAAACTTTACCCCCTCCTCACATATGCACAAACACAACACTACCCGTCCCCTCATCCCCCGGCTCGCACTTTCCCCTATACCCTCCTTGATATTTTTATAACCAATAAAAAGAGAAATAATCAATAATATTAAAGCATACATATCTTTTGAGCCACACATCTGATTCTAATATAAATTGCTCTATTTATAATTAAACCAACAATTTAAAGATCCATAACGCCTATATTTTAAACTTAATTTTTCACTAAAATTAGAACAATTATACATGTTCCTATTTTTTAAGTGCTTAGATATTATTGACTTTCATGACATTATGAGTTCCTCTGCACATTATTGTATATATATAAGCCACACAATGTTTGCGGTTTATAGTTGGTTGAGAAGTTACATTTGTAATTACTAAAATGTTCAGACTCATATTGACTAGGTATTTTCTTTTTTTTAAAAAAAGAAAGATACTATAGATCACACATATATTAGGGAAGGGAGATCTACGATATATCTTTAGAAATTTATATATAAATATATAACAAATTGCGTCAATAAAATATATTCATTAAAAAATAAAATATATTCATTTTCAATAATAGTTATTTAGGATTTGCTAAAAAAAAGAAAGACCCTAAACATTTTATTAAACAAGACAAAACATCACATGTTTCCAAACAAATTAAATCTAACTCCTTTCTAGATAACGAAGAGATCATAGATAATTGTTTATATGAATGTATTAAATATTATGTATTTTAAAAGCTAACAAATAGATTGGAAAAATTATCTAAGCAACACTGATGAGATAAGTTATGGATAAACAGTACTTATGAAATGACAAGTGTCATCTGGCTGATATTCTGCCATCTTATATATTTTTTTCAAACATAATTTATAGTGCATGCCCGCGCGATGCGCGGGCTACCTTCCTAGTTCTAATTCTAACAAACCTTCGCACAAGTACTTGACCACTGTCAATATCGGGTCGACCAAGAGGACCTAACGAAGTAGTATATGGGGGTTTTGCGGTCTTGTTTCTAGCACTAACATGCGAGCAGCCCAATAGTATTAATCCTCTTCTTTTTCTTCAACTAATAGCAATAGTTTTGGTCTCATAGCTCACATTGTATTGTAGAGCATATGTAAATAATGTAAGAAATACATATGCTACAATGAGTTGTGAAATGAAAACAACACAATTAAACCATGCATGCTCCCGTAATGATGCATTTAACCAATTGGTGATGTGGGTTATTGCGCTAACGTTCTTAATTCAGCGGCCCATTAGTCTGTTGGTCAAGTGGTTCAATGGAAGCACCGTGCTTCATGTGAGCATCTTGCCTATGCATCTAAATGTGGTTGTTGCGTGCTTATTTTTGTAATTACTGGATTGCATGTGCTTACATCTAAAAAATTCGGGTGATACCACCACTTAACTATACTAATGCTCCAAGTGGATACTTCTATTTTTCGAGTAGTTGTGTCAATCAACAAATTCCTTTTATTTTACGCTGACGAACTAATATCATTAGACCACATTCACAAATCAAGGGGCTCCTCATCTTCGTCACCACCAGGCTCAGGGCTATTTAAAACAAATCGATGCATCTTCTTCCATATAAACTAAATAATCCTTTTAAAAGAGAAAAAAACAGAACAATCCATGTCCTTATCAAACACAAAAATTGGTGGTGGCAATGGACAGTATTGAACAACAAGATTTTGGACAGAATCAACACATAGCCATGTGACGAATGCCATATTGATGCTTGGGACGTCATGAGGCAGACATCAAACATGAGTAGTTTGTTTCATCAAGCAATCAAGCCTGGTACAAATAGAATCATCAGGGACTCAGAGCCAATCTGAAGTCTGAAACTTATACGTCCAGCACCAAACACTCAATAAACAAGGGTTGTTTATTTGCATGCGTCCCAGATCCCGCATCAAGCAATAAAGGTGTATGATCTGACAATTCTCTATTCAGAGCTCTGACCGTTGCTAACAGGAATTTCACTTCCCAATCCATGCTCATAAGCACCCTATCCAACTTCTCAAAAGTTTGATTTTGTAGAGCATTCGCCCACGTAAATTTACGTCCAGTGAGCTCCAGCTCTCTCAAGTCTAAGCTATCTATGACAGCGTTAAACAAGAAAGGCCACTTATCACTATACTTGTCATTGTTTTTCTCGCTAGGGTTTCGAATTATATTGAAATCCCCTCCAATTAGAATCGGCAAAGACTCTTTTCTACAAGATCTGACGAGTTCAGTAAGGAAAGCCTCCTTATACTCCTCTTGCGCAGCCCTGTAAACTGCTACAAGGATCCATTGGAAGGCATTTTCCTTATTCCGCACATGAAACTTTACATAGAAGTCTCCTTCATCAATACTAGAAACGTCAAAAAATTCCAAATTTACTCCCAAAAGAATACCCCCAGATCTCCCTTTTGGTCTAGTCCAATGCCACAAAAAGTCTTTACCTCCACAAATGTTCTTAAGGCATGCATTTAAAAAATCACTTTTGCATGTCTCCAAGAGAGCAATAAAGTCTAGCTTTTGCTCCTTGGTTATGTCCGAAAGAAATCTGAATTTAGCCAAGTCACTAAGACCTCCAAAAGATCCCTAATTTTGATCGTCGCGGTTTAATAGTTTAAATCTTTTCTTTTCCTTGATTAATGTGAGAATTTCTAGTCTCTGTAGCAAATATGGTGGCTTCTTTTTAAGATATTTTAATAATATAATAATCCCTATAATAAATAGATAGATTGATACCACCACTTAACTATACTAATGCTCCACGTGGATACTTCTATTTTTGAGTAGTTGTGTCAATCAACAAATCCCTTTTATTTTACGCTGACGAACTAATATCATTAGACCACATTCACAAATCAAGGGGCTCCTCATCTTCGTCGCTACCAGACTCAGGACTATTTAAAACAAATCGATGCATCTTCTTCCATATAAACTAAATAATCTTTTTAAAAGAAATAAAAAACTGAACAATCCATGTCCTTACCAACCACAAAAGATTGGTGGTGGCAATGGACAGTATTGAACAAGAAGATTTTGGACAGAATCAACATATAGCCATGTGACGAATGCCATGACGTCATGAGGCAGACATCAAACATGAGTAGTTTGTTTCATCAAGCAATCAAGCCTGGTTACTGGTACAAATAGAATCATCAGGGACTCAGAGCCAATCTGAAGTCTGAAACTTATACGTCCAGCACCAAACACTCAAACCCAATTAACCCCAGCTGCAGCTGGCACCATCTTTCTCGATCTGCAGGCGGAGGAGATCCATCCATGGATGTGGCCGTCGGTGCGGCGAGCTGGCTCCTCGGAAAGGTGGTGACACAGCTGTCCGATGGCATGGTGGCGGCGTACGTGTCCAGTACAGAGCTTGGCCTCAACATGGAGCAAATCAAGACCGATCTTGCATACACTCAAGGACTGCTTGACGCGGCCGAAGAGAGAGATGTCAGAAACAACCATGGCCTACGGGTGCTCCTAGAAATCCTGACCAAGCAGGCTGACGAGGCTGAGGATGTTTTGGACGAGCTCCAGTACTTCATCATCCAGGACCAGATCGACGGCACCCATGAGGCCACTCCCATGGTAGACGATGGCCTTCGTGGTCAAGTGCTCATCCATGGCCGCCATGCTCTTCATCATACCACCGGTAACTGGCTTTCATGTTTTTGTTGTTCCTCTGCACGAGATGACGCCGATGATCCACATGATATACCCAAGTCCCATAGTGATGTTCCTGACCATGTTAGCAAGTTGACATTCAATCGAGTAGACATGTCCAATAAAATCAAGTTGGTTATAGAGGGCATACATGCCTCATGTACACCTGTATCCAATTTGCTCAAAATTATCCATCCTGCAGTAGGAAGGGCATTACCACCGAAGCGACCTCCTACCAGCTCAACAATTACACAGGATAAATTGTATGGGCGGGAAAACATCTTTAATCAGACTCTTGATGCCATGACTAACTTTACTATTCATAGTAGAACACTATCAGTTATTCCTATAGTTGGTCCTGGTGGAATTGGGAAGACAACTTTCGCCCAATACCTATACAATGACAAAACAATAGAGGCACATTTCTCTATAAAGGTCTGGGTTTGCGTGTCTACTCATTTTGATGTGGTTAAACTCACTCAGGAGATCTTGAAGTGCATATATCATGCTGAAAATGAGGGAAGCCGCAGAGTGGATGAATTATCCAACTTGGATCAGCTCCAAATAACCATTGCACAAAGACTGAAATCCAAAAGATTTTTACTTGTCTTGGATGATATGTGGAAATGCGGTAGTGAAGCTGAGTGGGGAAGCCTATTAGCTCCATTCAGCAAAGGGGATGCCAAAGGTAGCATGGTTCTTGTCACAACTCGATTTCCATCCATAGCACAGATGGTAAAAACAACTAAGCCAATAGAACTGCAAGGTCTTGGGGATAGTGAATTCTTCACATTTTTTGAAGAATGTATATTTGGTCATGATAAGCCCGAGTATTATGAAGACAACATAATTGATATTGCAAGAAAAATTTCTAAGAAATTGAAGGGTTTCCCGCTAGCAGCCAAAAGTGTTGGTCGATTATTGAAGTATCGCATTTCACAGGAACGTTGGATAGAAATTCTTGAAAGAAATGAGTGGCAACATCAGACAAATAATGATGACATAATGCCAGCACTACAAATTAGCTATGACTACCTTCCCTTTTATCTAAAAAGGTGTTTTTCTTATTGTGCCCTTTACCCTGAGGACTACCATTTTAATAATATAGAGATTAGTCATTTTTGGGAAGCATTAGGCATCATAGATTCTGGAAGTCATAAAAATAGAGCTGAGGATATTGGATTAAAGTATTTGGACGAACTAGAAGGTAATGGTTTTCTTGTGAAGAAAGTTGATGATAGGACCGGGAGGCAATATTATGTAATGCACGACTTATTACATGAGCTAGCACAAAATATTTCATCACAAGAGTGCATCAATATAAGTTCATACAGTTTCAGGTCTGATAACATTCCATGGTCCATTCGTCATGTATCCATCACCTTACAAGATAACTATGAGGATAGTTTTGAGAGAGAAATGGAAAATTTGAAGAGAAAAATAGACATAGGAAATTTACGGACATTGATGCTTTTTGGAGAAGGCAATGCAAGCATGCTTATCCTTTTCAAAGATTTATTAAAAGAAACAAAACGTCTCCGTGTTCTATTCATGCATGCAAACTCGCTCCAATCTTTCCCGCACAACTTTTCCAAACTGATCCACCTTCGGTATCTAAAGTTGGAAATACCTTATGACGTAGAACTGTCTCTACCAAATGCAGTAAGTAGATTTTATCACTTGAAATTTTTGGACCTAGGGTACAGTAAATGTATTTTGCCAAAAGACATCAATCATCTAGTCAATTTATGCCTCTTAAATGCTAGAAAAGAACTCTGTTCCAATATTCCTGGGATTGGCAAGATGAAGTATTTACAAAGGTTGGAAGAGTACCATGTTAAAAAACGGGACATTGGGTTTGAACTAAGTGAGCTAGGGGATTTGACAGATCTTGAAGGTGAACTGAAAATATTTAATCTTGAGAAAGTGGCAACAAGGGAAGAAGCTAATAAAGCAAAATTGATGTCCAAACGGAATATGAAAAAGTTGGAGCTAGCTTGGGGTATGGTGCAACGGACCACAAGATCTGATGTTCTTGAAGGTCTTCAACCACCTTCTAATCTTAAAGCACTTGTCATAAAGAACCCAGGTGGTTCCATTGGTCCTAGTTGGTTGTGTGGTAATATTTGTGTAAACTACTTGAAATCTCTGCATATAGAAGGTGTATCTTGGGGCATTCTCGCACCTTTTGGTCAACTGATGCAGCTAGAGGAACTAACTTTGAACAATATTCCAAGCACGCGTCGGTTTGAACCTAATTTTGGTGGTGTTACACAACAAAGTTTCTCACACTTGAAGAAAGTTGAATTTGTTGATATGCCAGAACTTGTGGAGTGGGTTGGGGGAGCTCATTGCCATTTGTTTTCAAAGATTACAAGCATCAGGTGTGAAAATTGTCCCAATCTCTCTATGCTGCTTGTGCCATCCTCTAGGTTCTCTGTCTCCTATGCACAAGACATAAACACCAGATGGTTCCCCAACCTGTGTTCTCTTGAGATTGAAAATTGCCCCAAGTTGTCACTGCCCCCTATACCTCACACTTCCATGTTGACATGTGTTATTGTCTCAGAGCGTAAGACAGATTTGTTGCGTCTTCAAGAAAACAAGCTGATCTCACATGGATACAGAGGTGCTTTGGTCTTTGATAACCTGGACAAAGTAGAAGATATGAGTATCGAAGAAATGCCACACGTTTCATTGACTGATCTCCAAAAGCTCAGCTCCCTAACAAGACTTGCCGTCAAAGGATGTGAAAGCATGTTATTTAGTGAAGTTGAAGAGGGTGTTATCTTCCCTTCAGTTCAGCAGCTCGAAATCAGTGATTGTCGTCTTACCAGAAATTCATTGACAAAGCTACTAAACCGTTTCCCAGCTCTTACTGAGTTCCACTTGATCTTCTCTTCATTTGAGGTTGGAGAGGAAGCAGTATTGCAACTCCCATCCTCCAACTTATTGAGCTATGTCAGAATCTGGTGCTGCAAGAACCTGGTTCTTCCTGTGGCGGATGGAGGGGGTCTCCATGATCTATCCTCACTCCAAGAAGTCGAAATTAGGGGATGTGGCAAGATGTTCGATCGGTGTTCCATGGTAGAGGCCGGAGCTCGGAGCAACAAGTTCTTCCCTGCTTCCCTCAGGGAACTCAATATCAGCGACGAGTTGAGCATTCAGTCCATGGCTCTGCTCACAAATCTCACGTCCCTCACTCATCTAACACTGATAAACTGTGATAACCTGACAGTGCATGGTTTCGATCCTCTCATCACGTGCAGCCTCAAGGAATTGGTGGTCTACAAGAAAGCCGATGACGAGATTCATCTCTACTCTTTAGCAGATGATTTGTTCTTAGAGGTGGCAACAAGGATGACGAAAGTAATACCTGCGGGAGGTTCCTACTTCCAACAGCTGGAAAAACTTGAGGTGGACAGCATCTCGGCAGTGCTTGTTAGCCCCATTTGCAGTCTCCTCGCTGCCAACCTCCGCGAGTTGCGATTCAGGTATGATTTGTGGATGGAAAGCTTCACAGAAGAACAGGAAGAGGCACTTCAGCTCCTCACCTCCCTCCAATGCCTGAAATTCCGGAAGTGCCTTCGTCTGCAGTCCCTCCCCGAAGGGTTGCATTGCCTTTATTCTCTCTATAAACTAAATATCGCTGGATGTCCGGAAATCATGTCGCTGCCCAAGGACGGCTTCCCGGTCTCATTGGAACGTCTAAGAATACGAGACTGCAGCATCGATTTAATGGTTCAAGTCAAGGAATTAGAAGCATCAAACCCAGATTTACATATACGGCTCCACTAGCAAACTTACCACCCAAGGTAAAACAAGGTGCTCTCCCAACTCCTACATCTTTTTTCCCCATTTCGTCTCTAACCTTTCGAACTAACTAAAACTCGTTTTTTATTGTTTGTTGTTAATGATGTAGCTATCCAGCACCATTGCCTCATCTGGAACCTTTCAGAGTTCTTCCATCATCGTATAGCTGACAATGTAAATGCGAATTACACGACAACACATGAAGATAAAGAGCTCTGGATGGCAGAGCAGCCACTTTGGCTTTCAGACATAATGGATGTCCTTTGTCTATTATCCAATCAATGTTATATTGATCATTACAATTTTGGTAACTTACGTTCTCTGTCATTACACTTCTTTCCATCTCAAACTGCATGGTGAATTTTGGCAGGTTGCAGCTGCGTGATATCGAAATCCACCTGCACTTGTATGATCTGTACAGATCCAATAGCGACATTTTGCCAATCAGCCGTGCTGGTTTTTTTTAGAAAATAGATTAAACCGGCCTCTACATCCAAAATAGATACACAGCCAGGCCGTGCTGGTTAGTAAATATGCTTATGTCGTTTTGCTATTTTTTTCTTTTTGGACTGAAACTAGTATAGTATTGTAGAATGTCCCGCTCTTGGTCTTACTTTCTGCTTATTACTAGTAGAGTGCTCGTGCGTTGCTACGGGAATTTTGTTGATCACGGGAAAACAAAATCTGGCAATCCAAAAGAAACTACAAGTCATAGTTGTTCTAAGATTAATTTAAAAGCAAGATATATGTTATAATTACAGAAGCGTAGTATAACCTTTTTGGCGCATAAAACAATCTCATGGCGTTTATTAAATTATAAAAAGCAACATAAATAGAAGACAGCTAATCTCCAGGTACGCTTTCTTGATGACCCTCGCACGGACAATCCACCATTTTCAGTGTATGTGATCCATTTGTACCTCGTGGAACCGAACAATTCTGATGTGACCATGGCTACCACGGATGCAACCATTGCTCACATCATGGATGAACAAGAAGATATCGAGATCAAGTACTCCAAGTGCTGGAATCCGATTCGGCCACCTACTACACTGCTGATTTCAAACGGCCACCGAATCTGCATACGACCTCCGTTTTCGGCCCGGGAGTACTTGATGGAAAGCTCTCGGAGCCCTCTTTCTAACGGATCCAGCCTCTTCTCTGAATTCTATCTCGTGTGGCCAGAATCACAGGAACAAGGTGTTGCATCACCTATAATGGGCCTATGGGCTTGTAACTTCATTTGGGACCCCGGCCCAGGTGGGGCCCATGTGGGGTGCGCCCCAAGCTGGTGGAGCACGACCCTAGGCACCCCTAGGTCGTCCTCCCACCCCTATATATAGCTAGTTACCCCTTCAGGGTTTCTCGGGTTTTGTTAGATTAAAGTTTAGCCATTGCTACTTGCTTGCAGCGCGCGTGTCGGCTAGACCGTCCGTCTGCTTGTTCTTCGGAACCCCAACTTATCATTTGTATTAAATTCCTATTTGCAATATCAGATTGCTTTTATCTTGTTCTTGCTTGTTTCTTCGATTTGCTTGCAGGAATAGGGTTGATCTGCACCGGCAAGATCAGCAACCCACGGAGAGGTGTATCGATCGCTAAGGCGCAACACAACGTCTCGTACGGTTGTAGTCGGATCGTCAACGTTTCTCCCAAATCGTAGTTATCACAACTCACCGAAAGATCGGGCCAACAACAGCCTTGAGTGTCGAGAGGAACTCAGGGTTCATCAGGTGGTATCAGAGCTTTCGTTGCTCGGTGAGTTTTTATCTTCCTATAACCAGAAAATAGCCATACAAAAAAATTCGTATCATTTACCTAGCCATATTGTGCCATTGCATTGTTCTTTTCAGTTTTTGCTTTGTTGAATTTTGTGTTGCATCGTCACGTCGTGTTGCTGGTCTTAGCGTCTAGTTCGTTTAGAGTTTCGAGTTCTGGTCACGTTTTGTACCACAGTCGTCGCTGCCACCATGTCTCTGTTGTTGTCAGGACCTACGAAAACGGAATCGGCTCGCTGCCACGGTTCTATTTTTGTAGTTTTCAGAAGTTTCTGTCGGTTAGTTTTGGAGTTCTTGAGTTGCATCTAGAGTTTGCCGATCCTTGTGTGTGTTTGTTTTGGCCGTGCCTGTGTCGTGCACGAGAGGAGGAAGGTGAATTACCATATCTGATTTTGGAAGTAGTCAAGTTTGTTTTGGAAAGATATAGTAGATTGGATTGGTTAAAAATCAGTTTCCTTTTTATCCCATACACCAAATTCGGCTGCCATCCACTCCACCTCCTTGCCGAGTCCCACTCGCCCCTTTGGCCGAGTCCGACCCCCTCCCTCAATTCCACGGTTCCGAGTTGTGTCAAACACCTTGGCGAATTTTTGTTTGGTGTCGGTTTCGAGATCTGTTTGGAAAAACGGAACCGGCATAAATTCAGCATTCCATTTTTTGTATAATTTTAATTTTGGGTTTAGACTTTTATATTTGAGTCCCTGTAAATTTTATATTTATGTTTGAGTCCCTGTAATCTTACATTAAGGTCCTTGAGTCAGTTTTTGTTAAAAAAAATCAAGAAAAAAGTGAAAAAAAAGGCAGAAAGGTGCAAAAAAAAAGAGAAAAAAAAAGCCGCACCAAAAAAAAACAGAAAAGAAAAGGAAAAAAAAAGAAAGAAGAAAGAAGAAAGAAAGAAAAGAGAAAATACTATTATGTTTGAGCTAAACTTCATATATCAGAGTTGTGCATGAGTTGTTCCTAGTGCTATCTTGTGGTATTGTTTGTGTCTAGGCTCGCGTCTCTAGTACGTTCTAGCCTAGGACCAGCACGGTACTTGACTTTGAACAATTATTCAACTTTGCATTATCTGATTTGAGCATTTGCTATTCCTTTGCTACATATTTAAGCCTACCCAGAGCTCCACATATTTGATTACAGCCGTACCGCAAGTGTTTGCCAAGGCATCGATACATCCAACCTTCATTGGGGTGCTTGGTTGAGTCGGTGTATGTCACCATTCCACTTGCATTGGTAAGATCTTGTAAGAGCTTGGTTAAAAGCTTGAGTGTGTGCGATTTTTGAGCTGCCACTACCTAGTAGTTAATAGGAACGCGCATATTTTTGTGTATGTTTCTTGTTTTCTACTAACAATGGCAGGGATATGCAAGATAATTGGGGATAGCTGTGCTCAACATCGACATCTTCGTCGAGACACGAGGAGGGATCAACATGACCATTATAAGGTAAGTGATGATGTTCTAGGTAAGATCAAATCTGCACTGCCTTATTTCGAGGGAAACTATGATCCTCGTGCTTACATTAATTGGGAGCTAGCGGTTGATAGTGAATTTCAAAAGCATGTCTTGTCGGAGAAACAAAAGGTTATGTGTGCCTCTAGTGTTTTAATTAAACATGCTTCTAATGATTGGAAACATCTTTGTAGGCATAACAAAATACCACAATCTTGGAAAGACCTGAAACGATATTTCAGAGATATTTATGTTCCCATGTATTATGCTGACATTTTGTTCAACAAACTGCAATGTTTAAAACAAGATACCAGAGCTGTTACTTCATACTATCATGATATGCAAGCTTGTTTATTACGTTGTGGTTTAGATGAATGCGAAGAAGCTAAAGAATTGAGGTTTTTATGTGGGCTTAACAAAGAAATTCAGGACATGCTTGATTGTCAAAGATATACATCTCTTTCTCATTTGTTACAACTTGCTTGCAATGCTGAAAGTAAAATAGAGGAGGACATGAAGAAGCAACATGCTATGTTTTTGTCTTCTATTACTAACCATTTGCAGGAAGTGCATAATCATGAAAAGGAGGAGAGAGACATGAAAGAGCCGCCAGTCCCATTGATCACACTCAAAGTCGAGGCACCTCCATTATCTGAAGAGGGCATCAAAGGTAAACTTAATGGTGCTGAAATTAATAAAGGTGAGTGTGTTGTTAATGAATTGAATTTGTCCACTTTTCATGCTATAGCAGAGCAACCATTAGTGGAACCAACTGCTGAGATTCCTTTGTCACAAATTGATTTGTTTGCTGTTCCTTGTGATAAAGAAGAGTTATGCGATAATGCTTCACTTATATCCATGCCACAACTTGTGAATGAACATGCTATTCCTACTGTTAATTCATACTGCACTGATTTTAAGCATGTTGTTCACATTGCTAATAAAATAGAGGAGCGTGAATTGAGATCTTCTTTAAATACTTTGGGTTATGTTCAGTTTGATGATTTTTGTGAGCTCGATAATTTCAAGGAGAAATTATTTGCTAAGTCTGATTTGCCATATCCAACCAATGTTATATTTCACATCTTTGGTGAATATAATGATCTTGGAATATATTTTGTGCATAGAGTTTACATCTGCTCGGATTTAGAACCTCCTGTACATGTGGATAAAATATGCAAGCTAGAGAAAAATGTTATTGCTAACCAAATTGTCTCGAGTTTGCCTAGTTTTGATTGGAAGAAACAGGTTGTTGTAAATGGACTACGCAAAGAGCACCATATGGAAAAACCGAGGACGGTTTTCCGTGAAGAAGGGGAGGATGATGTGACCATGGCTACCACGGATGCAACCATTGCTCACATCATGGATGAACAAGAAGATATCGAGATCAAGTACTCCAAGTGCTGGAATCCGATTCGGCCACCTACTACACTGCTGATTTCAAACGGCCACCGAATCTGCATACGACCTCCGTTTTCGGCCCGGGAGTACTTGATGGAAAGCTCTCGGAGCCCTCTTTCTAACGGATCCAGCCTCTTCTCTGAATTCTATCTCGTGTGGCCAGAATCACAGGAACAAGGTGTTGCATCACCTATAATGGGCCTATGGGCTTGTAACTTCATTTGGGAACCCGGCCCAGGTGGGGCCCATGTGGGGTGCGCCCCAAGCTGGTGGAGCACGACCCTAGGCACCCCTAGGTCGTCCTCCCACCCCTATATATAGCTAGTTACCCCTTCAGGGTTTCTCGGGTTTTGTTAGATTAAAGTTTAGCCATTGCTACTTGCTTGCAGCGCGCGTGTCGGCTAGACCGTCCGTCTGCTTGTTCTTCGGAACCCCAACTTATCATTTGTATTAAATTCCTATTTGCAATATCAGATTGCTTTTATCTTGTTCTTGCTTGTTTCTTCGATTTGCTTGCAGGAATATGGTTGATCTGCACCGGCAAGATCAGCAACCCACGGAGAGGTGTATCGATCGCTAAGGCGCAACACAACGTCTCGTACGGTTGTAGTCGGATCGTCAACGTTTCTCCCAAATCGTAGTTATCACAACTCACCGAAAGATCGGGCCAACAACAGCCTTGAGTGTCGAGAGGAACTCAGGGTTCATCAAATTCTGCATGGGGAAGACAATATACACAACATGATAGCTTTACACAATCCATCAATACAAGAAACAATAGAATGAAGGAAGAGTGACCTCCATGGTTGCACGGCTACGCATTCTCCATATTGTGTGCTAATCAGCCGTTCGGAAGAGACGTCCGTAAGAACGGGTGGATAGTTCGGAAAGAACGTGGAAATGGTGGCAAAGAATGTGGAAATGGTGGCTAGGGCTGGCAACAAGAGCTTCGGTTGCTGCTGGCGCAACTTATATGATGA